AACATCATTCTATGTTGTAACAGCTTAAGAATACATTAACCCTAAATTCAAGAATCATTAAAAAATGTCAAACGACAACAGAAGCCACGCTTAACAAATTACAGTAAAATAAAAGTTCTACAAACAATTATAAACAAAAGGCAAAGCAAATTACTAGAATCAGCTAAGGATCCATTGATCTAACAATTTCTAAGCCAAATTGTATAAAATAATAAATTAAATTCATTAGCCGTTACAGGTACGATGTACTGGTAGATGAAATCAAAAGAAAACAATATGGCGCCAAAATAAATAAACAAAGGAAAACATTTTACGACTAAATAATTTCACCAGATCTGATACTTACCTCGCAAATGCAATACTTTCGAAGTTCAAATCTATAGTTCCTGATTTTCAAAAACACCTTTGTTTTCCTTTGCTTTCTTCAAAATCAAATAAAAAAAGAAAAGAAAAGAGAGAAAATGTAAATCAAAATTTACCGTGAGAAAGCTAGCGCATATCAGAGAGTAAGCTTACAAGCAAAACTGGAAGATTTTCTATTTGTTTTGGGTTCGCTTTTGTTTTGCTCTGGTTTTGTATAGAGAGTGAGGGAAGTTCCAAAAATAACGATGGGTAATCTGGTACGTGCAGTTCCAGTGTAATGATTTTTCACTAGATTGATTTGAGCCGTTGGATGGTACCGACAGTGGATATTTGATCGTTGGGATTAAAGCAGATAGGAGTTGGCATAGGGGATGATTTTAAGATTTTGGGTTGCCTGGCCCACATTACGTTACTTCGGGTACTTCGGGAACGAACAAAGAAGCAACGACTCAGTTTTAGAAAGTGTCATATAGAATTTGATACCTACATTTATTCTAATGTTCAAATTAGTACTTTACTTTTATATAAATATATAATTTGACCAAATGATATAATGATATTTAAAATAGGTCTCTAGGTAAATAATAATAATAATAATAATAATAATTAATTATGATTGTGGTTGGAATAAGTTTATGTTAACAATTCATCTTTTTTAATTTAGACAAAAATATAATTCTGGATAATGGCGTTTGGTTGATAATGAAAGTAGAGGGAAATAAGCAATATATTTGTGTAAATCAGAATTAAGAGGGAGTTTGTCTTATTTTCAATCGTGACGGATGAATATTATATTATTACTCTCAAATATTAGATATATAATTATTATGACTATATAGAGGTTAATATGCTAAAAAATATTAGTTGTCAGTTATTAGATTTTGTTATAATAGATTACATGGAACAAGTCATAAATCTAATCAGGACTGTAATCATCTAAAGATTATTGTATTTAAAAAAAATATTAGATTGAAATTAGAAAAAAAAGTATATACTAAATTAAACAATGAAATCAAAATTAAGTATTGAATGGTTTGAATCTAGATTGTTTAAAGAGTATAATATAATTTCATTACATCATATATTTGTTGGTGTATATATGAATATGAATATGTGCTGATATATAGTATAAATTATTATATATTTTATAAAATCTATCAGTTTATTTTACCTTGACGTGACTTATACTCAAATTACATTTTTATCCTCCACCTTGTTGCTATACGTGAAAGTTACTATTAATTGATAGCGGCAGATGCACGGGTGTAAGGCAATATATATATATAATTATGATATAGAATAATAATTTTATAAAAATTATGTAAATTTTATGATATTTATTAATCAAACTCATGATATCAATTATCGTATTTGATTTCAGATAATTCATTTTTCTCTTTTTTAAACAAAACCATTATGCTGTAAAATAATAATGATTAATTTTTAAATATAATTATTAATATATAATTTATTAATTAATTAATTTGATCAAATATTATAAAAATGTATTATGAAATGATGCTATTAATCTATTTTCTCTATTATATAGACTAATTTTATTATATATAAAATATAAATAAAAAGATTTTACTAATAAAACTACTATTTTCAGGTTGTTGTATATTAACATTTCACCTAACTCGATGAATATAGTTGTCAATCGCTACATTAAATTGATACAATGCTTTTAATTACAAATATTATATTAATTAATCTTAAAGAAGACCCATAAGTATTAGTTAGCAATAACAGAGCGAGACTGTTGATATTTGGTTTTCACGATCAACTAAATTGATAGATCATAATTTTATTTTGTATAATTTTATAAATTGTTTTATATTAAATAGTTTATAATATGTTTGTTACATTGTAAGAGTTGATATCGATAATATAATAATCCCATAAATAAAAGACTCAAATTTACGTAAAATCCCTAATAAAAAAATACTTAAGGTAAAAAAGTTTAACGATACAAACGATTGATTTGAATGGCTTAAACAACTTTCACGTCTTAATGTTAATGTTAATTTTAATCTCTATTATCAAATATCGTTGAACTTTAGACGAGCTATTATTTATGCTATTGAACTTCCAAAATGCTCCAATTATACACTTAATATGTTATTTTAGCTAATAAACTTTAGGGGTGAACCAATTTTATCACTGGACTTTTAAATTGGTTCACTTTAGGCATTATATTTTTCCGATTACCATTGGCAATGAATCGTCGCTGTCATTGGTATCCATTCGTGATAAAATCGATATAAAAAACAAAATTGACATCAAAACATTCACATTTTGATATCAATCATGTCACGAATGACAATCGATAACGTGTGACGATTGGTACCAACGACGGTTGGAAAAATTCAACGCCTAACACGAAATTTGTTCAAAATTTAATGGCAAAATCAATACACTTCTAAAGTTTAATGTCTAAAAATACGTCATGTTAGGCATAATAACTGCGACAAAATGATATTGTTTTGTTCATGTATCACAGTGATAAAAAGATACATCCACATCATCGTATCATTAGAATTTAATGGTCCAGTGATATAATCGAAGTCAAAACTAAAATTTAGTATTATAATTAGAGAATTTGAAAGTTCAATGACATAAACAATATAATGCCTAAACTTCAGTGATATAGGGTAAAATTTTGTCATTTTATTTTCTCATTGCCTATAAAATTATCTTTTCTTATCACCTACCGTCAAATGAGATTTTGACGTATTACCCCATTTTCTCCTTTCCCGATTATGATATTAGATGTTTTCCACATATACCCTCATTGTCGGCAATTAATTACCAGTCCTATAAGAGAAATAACAACTTTAATTTGAATTTCTACAAATTTTTATTGTCCTAAAAGGTACTCACAACCCTAAAGGAAAATTTTGTTTTTATTTGGAACCAACTACTCTCTCGGTAATGGTCTTGATGTGTGGGATCCCTCAACAAACATACATTTGTTAGCATTTAGTGCTATTTTTTTTCTTTGGGTAAACTACATTAGATAATCATTCAAGTACATTAAAATATTTTTTTGTCAACGAAATTTTAAATATTATAAAACAATCATCAATTTTATCAAATTGTTGCAAAAATAATTCTTATATGTTATAAAATGGTAATAGTTTTTTGGGGGTAATTAAACGTTTAGTACCTCAACTACCACTTTTGTTCTGTTTTGATTACCCATTTTTTCTTCTTCAAAATCATACATAACGTTTAGTTTTGATTTCATTTTAGTCATACGTCATTAAAAATAACAGTGATGTTGATGTGACACCATATGATAATGCCACATCAGCAGTTCTACTAATTTTTAAATGGTGGGTGACCAAAATGTAACATTATATATGATTTGAAAAAAATAGTTGGGTGATCAAAACAGAACAAAAATGATAGTTGGAGTACTAAACATGTAGTTTACCCTATTTTTTTATAAGTTTAAAAACAAATTTATAATAATTCAAGAAGTATAAAAGATATTATATAATTTGATTTTTTATAATAATATTGTAAGTATATAAGAAATTTAATAATTATTTAATTTTTTTAAAAAAAATTATAGATTAAATTATTTTAATATGATTGAGTATTCTCTAATAATGTGATATAATTATAAGCCATATCTTCAATAAAAATATCATATCAATTTTAAGGAATTTACTTTTAGATATACTAAAGCCTTTTTCATGATTAAGAGATAATCTTAAATTTGATTACTAGAGTTTATAATTAGATGATGATAACTATGATGATGGTACTTTATGAAACTCTAATACATAATTTAAAGCTACAAGTGAAAAAAACATTTGAAAGGCCTAATATGCAATAAATGTCTTATTTTTCTTGTACTAGGGGTCCATCAATCTCAATTTGATATTCTCATTTGATATCATTAACATGAGTTTCAAATAAACAACTATAACCATCAATTTGACACGAATTGAGTTATTTCAATCATTAAACGTTGGTGGTTATTTTTAGAGGCTTTGAGTTTGAGTATAACATTTATAAGAGTGTTTGAGCGTTCGTTGTCAACTGATTGAGAGTCTTTCAAATAGATGTTACCTTATAGTCACCCCAACTAGTCCAAGAATTAACCAAATTATAATTAAAAAAATGAAAAAATCATGTGTGTCATATGATAGTATATAAAAAATAATTAAATAAATTGATTTACCAATTAAAAAACTTAATTATTCAATATAAGAGTTTATTTTTCTTTCAAAATTCAAAAAACTAAAGACATCCTTAAATACGGACCAATAAGCTTGAAAAACCTATTAGGCCCAACCCAAGTTATGTACGCTATAAACTTCCTTTACTACTTCGGCCTTCATTGAGGCTCCATTGTACTCTCCATTCCCAAAACCCTACATCTTTTCACTGAAAACCCTTCATTCCTGTCGGTCTCTCTTATTCATTGATTTGAGCCCCTTCGTCAAGCTTAGCCTTGGGTCTCTCTCTATATTCACAAGGTCATCCCTTTAAAGGTAGTGTTTTTCCCTCCTTCTTTCTAAGTAACCTTTTGATTGCCTGTTTGGTGGCTCTCGTTAGTGATTCTCTTGTTTTCTTCTGCTCTTTTATTGTTTGTTTTAAGGGGCTGTTCATTTGTTCTCACGATGAGCTTGCTCGATATAATAACGAAGGCCTCAGCTAATACTGAGCCGCACAGTTCTCTAGCAGAGCACCCCATACTTCTAAACGCAGATGATATTCTCCTCAAATTAAAGCCTGAAGCTGAAAACCCCATCCCACATCGCTTGTTAATCCCCTTACGGGCTGGGGAATCTCTCAAACTGATGCTAAACTCATTGAATTGAGTAAAAAGTTTTATACCAAGTTAAATAGAAAGCTCAAAGACATCCATAACTTCAATAGAGAAGAGTTTATTGGTATATTGACTCCATTTATTGAGAAAATTAGGGAGAAAGGTGGGTTTTTTTTTTATCGGGGTCGATTTAAACGATTCTGGTTATACTTCTGTTTTGCTTGAAAAAGTTGGGTCTTTGATTGGTAGAGATGTTTTGAGTTTGGTTTTGGAAGCTTGTATTAGTTTGGAAATTTGGGAATTGTTGGAGGTGTTGATTGTTAATGGCCTGATTGACCATTCTTGTTATTCGAATCTGATTATTAATATTTCTGCCAAGAAAAGGTCGGATTTGCTTTGTCTTTGCGTTAAACAAGCTCGCAATTTGGGTTCGGTTGAGTTGCTTAGCATATTGAAATATTTTCTATGTCCACCTAAAGATGGCTATGCTAGTATGGTTAATGTGAGGAAGGAATGGGAGAGTCAAGCTTTGCTGGCTATTGAAAAGGCCAGACTCGGAAAGAAATCACAGTTGGCCAAGGAGGCTGCGATTTTGCTTATGGTTGCGCATGATGGGTTTTCGGATGCTGAGCTTTGTTTGCATTATTTGTTAGCTTCAAACAATGTCGATGAGGTGATATTGTCATCTTCACTAAGTAGGTTAGTCGGTAAAGAGTTGATGAATTTGATTCGGTACCTTGGGAAATGGTTGAAAAAGTATGAGAGGTTTCCTCAAGCCATTCCATATCCTAAGGCATCCTCTGTTTTGGGCTTGAAGATCTGTGATTGGGTGCCCAAGCTTGAAGATGTCGCAAAATGTCTTGGGTTTGTCGTGGATGAGAACTTCTCTTCTTTGATGTTACATCCCGAGTTCCATGAAGAACTCAAATCCATCGAGGGAGTTGTTAGTTCCCTTGCCTTTGAAGCAAAATTTTGTTGTTCAATGACAAATGTAATCGAGAAGTTGAGAGGAGATTTGCAGAGCTAGGAATTACGGTAACATTGCATAAACACACTCTTTCCTATCATTTGTGATTTCCCGTGTCTAATATTGTGTTAACTAAACTCTTGTTTGTTTTGGATTGAATCGAAGTAATCTTTAATCTTTTTGTCTGTCATATTCAAATCTTGAGAGCTTGTGATTGCTTCATTTAGCGTCTATGTTTTGGCAAAATCATCTATCAGCAAGTTTGGAATTTTTTTTCTTGGAGCCTATGATACTTTTATTTAATTACCTGTAAATGTTTAATATCGACCAGAACCCTAGAGAAGTATGTAGGCATACATACGCAGGTAATTGCATCGGTTCCATGATTAGGTAATCTGCCATTTGTCTCTCGTCATCATAAAATACGACGTGATATGATCTCAATACGAAGTATCTTTCTAAGTTCATTTCAATTCCGTGCAAGGGAAGACAGGCAAAGCATGAGATTGAAGACACTTGTATTTACACCTATTGAATCAGATATAAGGAGTTCGATGCTCTTTAAATAAGTTATAGATTCGAGTTTGTGATTGGAAAAAATAATACTACATAGCTTTGTCTGTCATTTAAGGAAGGTTTTTCTTTTTGTATATCTCGAGCCTAATCTAATTTGGACCAAACTCGTTCTGCCTTTTATTGGGTCTACGATTGGTCTGGTATCGTAGTAATTTAAATTTACTGATTCCGTCTAATATTAACTTTAGAAGCATCTGCTTATTTCATCTTCATATTTAAATCTTTTAAATTTTTTTGAAGTTTCCCAATTTAATTACGAAACAAGTAGAGAATTTTGTACTTTATCTTTCTTTCAATGAAACAAGCAATCCACCCCCACAAGACAGAACATTTCAAGAATGGGATTTTAGGTTAAGAATATAATGAAAGAAAGCTTTACAAGAAAAGCTTTATGAATATAGACAAACCCAAAGTCTTTTATAAACGAAAAGCACAGTTTCAATCCTATAAAAACGATGAATCCATCAAGTTTTGTGTGTATGTCGACTGTTGTTTTATTTTCCAATTAGCAACGGTAAAAAAAGTATCAAATTGAATATGTCGAACGCCAGAGATAGGCTGAGTCAACGGTGGCCGAGCCATATCGCCGAGAAGTTTGTTCCCACATCGTACTGGACTGAGGATTCCGAGGGCAATTATTTGCTTGACATTGACCTTCCTGGTATTAAACCAACCGATCTATTTCCGTTGGTTCATCACTTTTTCTTTTAAATTTCTGTTTTAGGAAATCGATTTAACCAAACTTATTTAATATTAACCGGTTCGGTCGGTTAAGTAGTTAACCGATTTTTTTGTTGGGTCTAAATAATTTAGGGTTCGAACATGATGAGGTGAGAATAGAGCAAGAGTCAGCTGGTTACATAAAGGTCGAAGGAGAAAGGATACCTGATGAAAACAGGTGCATATACATCGACCAAACCTTCCGGTTACCAGAGAATTCAGACACCGAAAACATCCTAGGCAATTTCGACGGTCAACATCTGTGCATTACTGTTCCAAAGAAAATCATCCGGAATACTGTAGATCAGAGTTCACACAAAAAAGAGGAAGACCGCGAAAACGACAGAGATAGAAGAGATATTGAAACGAAAAATGAACGCGAAGAAGGTATCAAGAGCAGCAGTGACCGAACATGTTGTGTTCCGAGTTCAAAGAAACCCGAAGGTAAATACAGTTTGTTATCGGTTATACTCGATGGTGTTGAGCGGAATAAGGGGATTGTTCTTTCGGCTTGTATATCGTTTGCCATTGGGGGTGGGTGTCCCAGCTTTGGGTCTAAGTATTGTTTGCATTGTTCTTAAATACGTATCAGCGCATACGTAAATCGTCTCTCGTATGTATATACATTCCTGTGTACGTGCATGTGTATACTTGTAATAAACATATTGGCTTTAAAATATATAAGGGGTTCCACCAACTAGTTTGGTGTCTTTATTGGCTTGCCAAAGAAGCAATAAGTTGTCTTAATTTACCAAGTAAAACTATCTTTTTAAGTCCAAATAAGTGCATAAATCTACAAATGCTGAAAGAGCTCAATTCAATTTAATTGAAAAGAAAAACCATCCAAATATCGTTTGTTTCGGTTAGTTTACTATCAACACAAAATGAATATCCGGTCGTTGATTAAAGCCAACTAAAACGCAGTGGTCGTGGCTGGCCACATTCTCCGGGCTAACTACCGACTTGATCATCATCAGGTCCTGCAACAGCTTCCCAAATTGGAATCTGTCAGTACAAACTACAACCAATAGTAGCACTAAACAAAAATGCAGGGAGAGTCCAGCTATCATTGCAAAGAAATGCTTACCTTGTTTTGATCCTTTTAGACGCTTCGAAGCTGTTTCTGCAGCTACAAACTATCGTGGCCTCTTCTGCGACTCCTCCTCTAAAAGTCCCAAAGCATACATATATCTAATTATCTGCATATCCTGCTGGCTTCCAGCAAGTTTTTTCAAGAAACCTGTGAAACAAGTAACAGAAGTTAACACCCATATTGGACCTCCTGACACAAAAGAACAGTAAACTACTACCAAGCCTCATTCCAGGATCATGGCCTCGGGTTTATTAAGAATGAAGCAATTGCATATAGATAAGAGAAGGTAAATGGTTTTATAGACTTTACAATGAATCTTATCTTCCAAACCAAGAGCCTTAAATATTTCCGTATTTTGAATATGTCGAGCAACAAACACCAAAACACCGAGAAGCTTGTTGGCATCGAATGCATAGGCCAATCGGAAAGAGGCTAAAAACCACAGGAATCCCAAGACCTCCAATTCATGGCCGGATTCAACTTTCAATTTTGTTTCCCAATCAAAGGCAAGAATTACAGCATTTTCTCTAACATGAGGCTTAATCTCGGGTGAAAGTTCCATCAATTGCTCTAACAAGAGAATACAACTTCTTCTGGCAACTTCTCCTTCGAACTCTCTGTCTCCCTTGCACAAATGTGGTGGGTAAAACCCCTCCATTGCATCCAAGACAAGCTTTCCAGGGTCTCCTGAACGTTGAAGGGCCATAGCAACTTCAGTACCGATTGAACTGTGGTCTTTCCAGCCCTCATTTAGGAACATCTGCAAATTCTTTCCATCCATATTTACACAAAACTGAAGATGTGCTTGTGAAGAATGATCGACGGACAAAATGTTTGCTGCTTCAGCTTTCACTCCAGGATGCAGGGCAGAAGAAAGACTCCTCTTTTTTTAAAGTTCTTTAGCCCATTCCACAAGTTCCTTCTTTGATTCGAAATCTTTGAACCTCTGGTCACACCTTTTCACATCAAACTCAAGATCACTGGACTGTTTCTCATTCTATCTCCTTTGTTTTGAAGATAATTCTTCAATCTTCTTCTCTCTTAGTTCGACTTTTCTCAAACATTCATCATAATGCTTCGCGTTTAATTCGACAGCCAGATAACATAGCTCAAGACTTCTTTCTTTTAACTCAACATCTTTACGGCGTCTCATTCATCGTGAAGTTGAGCATTGACTTGAATATTCTTCATCGTGAAGTTAAAATCCAAGTATTGTATGTTACGGGTGGACACGATTCCCTTCGCCGTGAAGATAAAACCGTGGATGACCCCTTTATTGTGAAGTTTGGCTTCGAGTTAGATATTTTCCATCGTGAAGTTGAAATCTACTCTCGAGCAAATTGTGTCGCTTTGAGTTCAATATCCTTCGCCGCGAAGTTGAAATTGACTCTAGCTAAACCTGAAAAGTTATGCATATATGTGATGCTATGGATGCAATGCTCTTATGTGTGCCTAAAATGCATATGCAACATATGTTATCTTGGGGCTCTGGAGAGAAATCTCGATCTTCGATTGCCTGTCTGGAATCTTGATTCTTGAATCTTTAAGTTCTGATCCCTGATTTTAAATTCTTCAAATATTCAAATCTGATGTGCACATTCTATTTTTGATTTGAGAAATGCTTCTCGACCATCTCAAGTACGTGTCTGAGCTGAGTGTAATGGTTCAGATGATGTTTCAAGAGAAGTTGTCTTGAAAGAGATAGAATTCGTTTCAAGGGAAACAATCTTGTTGTTTCATGAAAACGGTCTCAAGGGAAACAAAATTTTGTTTTAAGGGAAATAAATTTGAAGATTGTGTTTCAAGAGAAACTGTCTCAAGGGAGACAAAATTTATTTTAGGGGAAATAAATTCAAAGATTTTGTTTCAAGGGAAACTGTCTCAAGAGAGACGAAATTTGTTTCAAGAGAAACTGTCTCAAGAGAGACAAAATTTAGTTCCAAAAGAAACTGTCTTAAGGGAGATGAAATTTGTTTCAAATAAAACATATTCAAATAATTTGTTTCAAGGGAAACTGTCTCAAGAGAGACAAAATTTGTTTCAAGGGAAATGTTTTCAATGTTTATGTTTCAAGAAAAACTATCTCAAGGGAGGTAAAATTTTGTTTCAAGGGAAACTATCTCAAGAGAGACAAAATTCATTTCAAGGGAAATGTTTTCAATGTTTATGTTTCAAGAGAAACTGTCTCAAGGGAGACAAAATTTTGTTTCAAGGGAAACTATCTCAAGTGAGATAAAATATTCTTTTTAAAAACAGTCTTGAATGAAATGCCTTCTTTCGAGTGAAACAGTCTCAAGTGAGACAAAGTCTGTTTTAAGAAAAGAAATCTCAAGTGAGATAATCATCTACATTAAATGAGACTATTTCAAGCGAGACAAAATTTATATTGGAAATGTTGAATCTGAAGATGAATGTTGATCTTTCAATCTGTCGAGTTGGTTGAAGTGTGACTTCTTGCTGCTGAGTTAAGCAACCACCATCGATTTTACAAACTCTTTTGAATCAAGTATCTTTTGTCTTGAAGTTGAAACTTGACTCTAAAGATGTGGAGGAAAAGCCTTCGGAAGATCTGATCGTTTGCATCAGGATTTTGAATCTCCAGAGATGCCCCAATATTCAATGTTGAATCTCCAAAAATGCCCCAACATTAAAAGTGCCCCTATTGTTCCTTATTTCTTGCTTCAACATTAATTCTAAGCATGACATTACTGTCTAAGAGCCATATGTCATTTACCAAGATCCACTTTAGAGAGATTGTCTTGTTTGAAAAAATGTTTCTCTTTTATTTTCAAAATTCTGAAAATATCAATTAAAAGAGTTTCGAAAAATGTTTAATCATAAGTTTTGAAAATATTGCCCCTTTCACGGTTTTACAATTGAGAGCCATATGTCATTTACCAAGATCCACTTTAGAGAGATTGTCTTGTTTGAAAAAATGTTTCTCTTTTATTTTCAAAATTCTGAAAATATCAATTAAAAGAGTTTCGAAAAATGTTTAATCAGAAGTTTTGAAAATATTGCCCCTTTCACGGTTTTACAATTGAGACGAATCATAAAACTAGAGTTCATTGGATATCAAAGAATTAATTACAATATTAATCCTTCAATAAATTATAGTTATTTGACACGTGCCAAGATCAAAGCTATTTTTGGGAAATGTTTAAGTAAGGAAAGGATAAAAGTCTCAGGTTATTGTGTTTGGTCAAAGGTTTGTCATTTTTTTGTTTATTTGATGCTGAAAGGTTTGATAGGGTACCTTGTATGCTCCTCTACTGGAAGTGTTCTCCGACTCCCAACTTTCATGGTCATGCTCGGATTGTGCGATGCATTATCAAGGAATTTGTGTGATTGCCTCAACTGCCCAATTTTCGTATTCGAGCCGCCTTTTCAGGTTTTCAAGACGTCATTCGTAATTTACGTCTTGAACCCCCCTTTGTTATTTTTCTCTATCATACATTAATTACACTATTTTTTTTGCAAATAACGATTAGTCATGATGGGCGGGATGAAATCTGAAGATAGTCTCTTCTGTTTAGAAATCCATGTATGATTAGAAGGGACTTTTAAGACACGTAACGTAGGTCATGGTTCATGGTTATGAAATAAAGGGATAAAAGTCTCAAACAAGTGTTTAAGGGTGATCGAACCAAAGATCAATTCATTCTGATGTCTTCAATCATATCTTGCTCAATTTGAATCTGCTCGTATGTGTGTGTGTCTTGATGCTCTATGATCTTCGAGTGGAGTGATTCAGTAATTCAGAAATGATTGTGCTTGATCAATCTCATTTGATGCTCTATAATCTTCGAGTGAAGTGGTTCAGTGATTTGATCAATCTCATAGTTTGAATCTCGATGCGTCATTTGAATCGAGAGAATCTTTGCATATGCATATTGCCTTCTTTTTTCTTCAATTTTCCTTTGTTTTTTTATCTTTTTATTTTCTCTTTGCTTTTTTTCTTTTTTTTTCTCTTTTTGTTCTGATTGAATCTTCGCACTTGGCATTTAGTTTACCTTTCGGTATCTCATCTGAATCAATGTCTTCACTCATGCGAGTAGATTTTCTCCACCTTGCCCCCAGTGTGGAGGGTGATCCTTGGTTAGGGTTGAATCAGAAGAAAAATACTATAGGCTCAAAAAGGGACACAAGAGATATATATATTCTCCTGTTGTGAAGGGGTAAAGAAAGAAAGTCGTTCATCATTTCATACATATAAGCTTTCACAGAAGAGGTATCCTCAGGAGGATATATTTTCAGGATTAATTTTATTCACATGAAAACATTGTAATTAATGTATGATATAATTATTTCGAGTGAATTCTTCTTTCTACTTCTTGACCCGAACATGTCTCAATGTTCAAGCTCCATACGAGATGCCCCAAGTTGTGTCTTAGAAGAATGCTCATGTTCAAATGAACAACTCAAGGCCTTGGGTTTTGATGGCATAAAAATGTCAATTTTGAGTCTAAAAAGACAATGGTGTGACTTTATCGACTCAAAGAAAGGTATGGAATGAAAAAGTTTCAAAGGGGTAGTAACGTCAAAACTTGGTCTTTTTGGTAATGGCCATGAGTTATTTTGGGTAATGAATCAAGTTATTTTATTTTGGGGTTTGAGACATGATAAGAAAGGTCTAATCTTGCCATATGTCAAAAATCTATAATTCTTGAAGAATTAAAAGAATCCTTAATTCATTTAATATTCGAAGAACGAAAGATTAAAATTTGTTCAATTGCTCCACCTTAGAAAGTAGCATAAATTCAATTGTTTAAAAGATTAAGCAAAAGATCAAAGACGTGTTCAAACAAAACAATCCTCTAGGTGCAAATGGTATATGTAATTCCCCCTTCTTCGGCTGTCCATGCCCCTGAATCCATCAGGTTTTGGATCTTGCGCTTCAGCGCCTTATAGTTCTCAGAGGAATATTTAGAGCATCATATGTGGCAACTGCAAACAGCTTCAACATCGCAGCCCTCAGGATGTGTGGACTCTTTTCTCAGATCATATTGGTAGGCTTAGTCGTACAACCAGCTGATCGAGCTCATTCGTTATGATTTTAGTTTTTTCTTTTGATGTTACAATCTTGCTTCCATGTGGTGTCATGTGGTTAAAACCACTTCATCGAATTCTCCATGAAGAAATTTCATATTTATGAAAATGCTTAAAAATGAAATGTAGATGCAAAATGCAAAAATACATGAAATGTTCGAGGCATTGATCCAAAACATGTTTGTTATTGTAAATAACCTTTATTGGGACAAAAGTGTTTTAACTTTTAAGAGACAATAAACATATTTAAAGGTACATCCGGACTAAATCCTCTAGACCCGGAACAGGTTGACTAGTCATTTGCCTTCGTCTTTCACCAGTTGAATAACCTGTTGAACCACTCCGGCCTCTCTGGATGAACTGTGAAAATGTTGAGTTGTTTTTTGTACTGGTTCCCCAAAAAGTATTGAATGACTGCATCTCTGGCTTTCATCCTTTGCTGAATCGGAAATTCCATTGAAATCCTCCATCAAAGGGATTATCCGAAGTTCATTTGCTTGTTTCTTGAATTTGTCGACATTGACTTGCCATCTTGTTCTTGTTATCTTTGAATGGACTCTCGAGGTCAGTAACCTTTTTCTCGTCTTGCCCCTGCCCCCTTTGTCAACCCATTTTTGAAGGGTAACTTTTGATGTTCTTGATTGTGGGCACCATGTCTTCTTGATCGAATGTGACACATAGTTGTCTTACAAATTGTCCTTATTTTCTTTCTAAGTCTTTTTTGACCATAGCCGAACCCTTGCGTTTTTCATCTCTTGTATTACAACCCCTTTGTCCATTAATGCAAATT